ACTGGACTCCCATGGAGTTGACCATGGTTCGTGTCCCGGACCCGGTGGCTTAAACTCACACCAGGCACGTGTGCGTGCATGCCCAAGATCCTGAGAGGAGAATAGAGGAGAAGGGATTGCAGCGTGGCCATCGCCCCTGGGGGTGATTTCTCGCTTTCTATCTCTCTGTCTCTCTCTGTCTTTCTGGCGAGCGCACGCACCCTATAGCAAAAACTTCTCCAAAAAATAAATAAATAAAAAAATAAAAATAAAAATAAATCGCAGGACCAGCAGTTGGTGTAAAGGCTATGTGGCTGGACTCCCATGTAGTAGACCATGGTTAGAGTCCCAGATCTAGTACCTTAAACTCACACCAGACGCATGTGCATGCATGCCCAAAATCCTGAGAGGAGAACAGAGGAAAAGGGATTGCAGCATGGCCATCCCCCCTGACAGGTGATTTCTTGCTTTCTGTCTCTCTGTCTCTCTCTGTCTTTCTGGCAAGTGCACACGCACCCTATAGCAAAAACTTCTCCCCAAAATCAATCAATCAATCACAAAGGAGAGTGTGACAGCTCTTTTAGAATTTGTCTATTGGGGGACCAGCAGTTAGTGTAATGGCTATGTCGCTGGACTCCCATGTAGTCGACTGCAGTTCGCGTCCTGGACCTGGTGGCTTAAACTCACGCTGGGTGCGTGTGCATGCGTGCTCAAGATCCCGAGGAGAGAATGGAGGAAAAGGGATTGCAGCATGGCCATCCCCTCTGGGGGGTGATTTCTCACTTTCTATCTCTTTGTCTGTCTGTCTGGCAAGCGCACGCGCCCTATAGCTAAAACCTCCCAAAAAAATAAAAAAGAAAAAAGAATTTGTCTATTAGGTTTTTGGGTTTTTACTGGAAAGCCCCCAAATAAATAACTGCAAAGAAAAAAACAGAATGGAGGAGGGAATTCACTAAGAAACTAAGGAGACATATGAGTTAATTGCAGTAAATGCACCTTATTTGGATCCAAATTTGAACAAGCAAACAATGAAAAAAACTTCTGAAGACATCAAGAAAACTTTAGCATGGACTAGATTTACTATAAATTACACAGGTATAATAAGGTAGCAAGTAAATATTTATAGGTGTGATAATAGTATTACAGTTATGTCTTTAAATATGTTCTGATCTTTTAGATATACGTACTAAAATATTTATAGATGAAATGGTATGATGCCTAGAAGCTGCTTCAAAAGATTCCAGATGAAACAAAACTATGAGTTAATAATTTTTGAAAGTCTATGATGGAGTACATGAGGGTTGACTTTAGTATTCTAACTTTTTCTTTGTGACTAGCCATTAAGATCAAGTTTTAAAAATACAGTTCTAATGTATATTTTAAAAGGAAAATTTCTGAAACTTACCACCAAAAGGTGTTGGAAACTGAGCCATGGTTCTGTTACTTGTGCCTTGCTAATCGACGCCTGCAATTGAAATGCAACATTTAAGTTTATGAAAGCTTTACTCACACATAAACATACTAACATGCTGTCTTTAATTACTAGAGAACTGATACTAGAGCTTGGATAAAGCTATACAAATGAAAGCTGTAATTAAGGGGTTCGTGCACTCATTTTTCTGCATTGTTCCTTAACACTCGAAAATGGGCATTGAAGAATGCTGAGGAAAGACTGGCAACGAGAAGCTTTGCCTGGTGAGCTATACCACTAACTCAGGACAGCCTTGTATATCACCAATGTTATATTTGTTCTTCCTTTCTTTTTTTTTTTTTTTTTTTGGTAAGAGAGTACGTGCACTTGCTAGAGAAAGAAAAAGTACCCATGATTCAGTGTGGCCATACCACAATCCTTTTTTGGCTCAGCATTTGGAAATGTCCTCAACCCATCATGATTTGGGGCACTCACAAAGACATGTGTACCTAGCATGGCTTTCAAGAGGCCAGGGCCAGGATTTGAACCATGATCAGTCATGTGGGATCTGGGTCCCAAGGCACAGCATTCAAACACTGCACTATGGGGCCAGACCTGTTTCTTTTAAAATAAATCTTTTCCTTAACCATTTATATCTACCAGTCCATCTACTTGATTGTTACAACACCTTTTTTTCATTGAGCAAGTAGTATATTCTATACATTGTACTATGTAACTTACAAGTCATCTCTTTTTTTTTTTTTGGAGAGTTTTTTTTTTTTTTTTTCTCTATAGGGCGCGTGCGCTCGCCAGACAGACAGACAGAGACATAGAGACAGAAAGCGAGAAATCACCCCCCAGGGGGGATGGTCACGCCGCAATCCCTGCTCCTCCATTCTCCTCCCGGGATCTTGGGCACGCACACACACGCGCCCGGCGTGAGTTTTAAGCCACTGGGTCCGGGACACGAACCGCGGTCGACTACGTGGGAGTCCAGCGACATAGCCATTACGCTAACTGCTGGTTCCCACAAGTCATCTCTTTTTTAAAAACATAATTATTTATTAATCTTTTTTCCCCCAATTTGCTATAGGGTACGTATGCTTAAGATTCTTAAAAAGAGAGAGAGAAAAGTGAGAAAGCAAGCCACCAAGTCCAGGACTTGAACCACAGTTGGCCATGTGGAAGTCCAGTGCCTTAATCATCATGCCACCTGCTGGTCCCAATTGTATCTTTAACCATTATTGTAGCCCTGTGAAATAGGTACTTTTATTATAATCCTCATACGACAGATGAGGCAAATGAGAATCACCAAGGATAAGTGATTAGAGCAATACCATACATTTGTTGACCAAGCTGAGATTTAGGCAGGGAAAGTTAACTCTACAACCTGTGTTCCAACCATGAAAAACAGCGTATGAATTGCTGTTTAAAGATTTTTTAAAAGGCCATAAATTATGCATATTATATTACGGTCTATCTAGAATACCAAATACAAATCTAATGGTCCAAAAATCCCCATCAGGCATTATTTATTCACGAACAGCCAATGTGAAACACAGCCAGCCCATTTTCCTTCCCAACAGCAAAACAAAATCCAGATTTAATTTTTTTCTTTATACTTAATATTAACAATATGGTAAATGCACATAGTTAAAAATGAGTACAAAATACTCACAGATTAAAATTTTTAGATAAATTTAGATTTTTAATAATGAGTCTCTTGACCTAATATAATATACTTCAATTTCATCTCCCAATCTGTCCATGGAGTTTCTTCCAAACTACCATACTTTTCAGTTTCCAAAAGCTCTTTCTTGTTCTCTTCTCTTCATTCCTAGACCTGTATTTTTCTCCCCAACGAACACTTCCATATCATCTGCTTTTCGTTGATTATTCTGTTTAGTTTTTTATTCTGTTATTCCATTGATTTTTTAACTTTTCTTCTATTTCTTGCACCATTTGATTCCTCCAAGATCTCTCTTCTTTTTAAGGCTAGAGTGTTTATGCACATACATGAGAGAGAGAAAAAGAGAGGGAGGGAAAGAAACACCCCACCCCTCAATGGACCAAGTCACACCACAAAATTTTTCCTTCAATTCTTCATTCCACCAGGATCCTGAAAACACACATGCACACCTGGCATGCTTTTTAAGCTTCAGAGACTAGGACTCAAACCCTGGTCAGTCATGTGGGATCCAACATCCTCTGCACAGCACGTAAGTGATACACTACAGCGCTGGCCCCAAGTTCCTTTTTTGTTTATTGGCTGACTGACCTATACTGAATGTCTCTCCTTCAGGTTTGAGGCACTACTATATATATCGTGACTCCTGGATGCTCTTTCACACTTAAGCATGAGACACTAAAAATCTGCTCAAAAGCTTGGCCTGGGTGGCTAGCTTATTGGGCGTCTCCATATGACGATCCTTTATATCAAGAGACATCCAAACGTCAGTACGTCAGAATTTTTTCACAGTAGTTGTTCATTTTTGCCAGAGAAAAATATTGGATGGTGAGAAAGCAACAAATCATCTAGGAGATGGTTTGGGAAGGAGGGAAGAAGGGAGAAGAAAGTGAGGGTTCTACACTTCAGTGTGTAGAGCTGTACATGGTCCCTTCAGTTCACTCCTTGCTTCACTAACCCTCTAGTCTGGAGCATCTCTGGTTCCCATGCTTCTCTCACGTCTGAAGGAAGGGAAATGAAGTAGTGACCTATCTGCTGGGAGGTACGGACAGATTGGTTCCAAGGACCTGGATATAGACTTTTAAGGAATTCCCACGTTGAGCTGCAAACCTGACCTGCTGTCTTTGGGAAAACCTGAAGCCTTCAAGCATGTAAAGACTCTCCATTAGTTAGAGTCCTGAGAGGCATTAGGCACCTCATATCTCCTCTTTACTGACCTCTGTAGGTGCTGCAGTTCTATCTTCTCGTGGACTCAGTTACCACTTCTCCATTACTTTCTGGTTTTGAAGAAAACTGCTAAAATCTTTTATCACTGCCTCCTCTCCTGTTATCTTTTTCCTTATGAGTTAACATCTTCATGCTTCCTTTATGAAAATGTTTTTTTTGAAAGAGAAAACATGTGCAATACAGCTACCATACTTAACTGCAGGTCTTCGCATCGAGCTCTGAAGCAGTTATTTCTCACTGCCAATCCCCTTTAGAAAATGCAGCTGCTATTTTCTTCCTCCATTAATTCTCACTCAATACATTACACAGATAAGCTTGATAAAGTTCCAGAAATTAGAATGTGTTTCATCTCACTTAATCTTCATAAAGTTCTTTTGAAACTGAATCATGTGTCCTTTTATCAAGTTTTCTCAAAATGGCAAGCTCTGAATTTTAAAAGCATAGGAAAAACAATGTGTGTGTGTGTGTGTGTGTGTGTGTGTGTGTGTGTTTAACACACGTACACAAGCTGAGAATATATTCTGTATATTGTTTTACTTCCATTCTTTACTATTTATTGCAAAATAAAGTTATTGATTTCCCTTCTTTGCACCCACTTTATCACATTTTCTTCTTGATGCTAAGGATCTTTTCAAATGAGTCTCTTAAAGTTTTCTGTGTACGTGTCTTCTTGAAGTGAAGAATTTATCCTTATATTATTGGGCCAAATCAACAAGACTAGGGTATATAAAATAGTTATGAGAGCAGTAATTTTCACATTGCCTCTGATTCTCATGGCAACAGTTTGAGTATTTCCTATTTTAATAAGTTTGCTATATTTTGGTAGTCTTTACCATTAGGTAGTTTTCCTCTTTTCCTATTTAACATTTTTATTAAGAAATAGCTGCTATCGGGGGCCGGCAGGTGACGTGGTGGTTAAGGGCGCTGGACTCCCAGATGGCCAAACTGCAGTTTGAGTCCTGAACCTGGCAGCTTGCTTTCTCACTTTCCCTCTCTCTCTTAATCTCTCTTTCTCACTCTGTCCCTCTCTGGCCAAATTAAAAATAAATAAATAAAGTTAAATATAAGATAATTCTTCGAGAAAATAAAAGAAATAGCTGCTACTATTTTCAGGAGTTTTTCTTCCTAGCATGTAATATGACCATGTCTTTTCTCTTTTAATTAACATTCTAGGGGCCAGCAGGTGGCGTGGTGTTTAAGGCAGCTGGACTCCCACATGGCTGACCATGGTTTGAGTCCTGGACCTGGCAGCTTGCTTTCTCACTTTCTTTCTGTCTCTCTGGTCAAACTTCAAAAAAATAAAAAATAAAATAACTACAATTAATAAAATAAAATAATTCTTTTTAAAAAAATTAACATCCTAATAGTGAGGTATTTCCTAATATTGAAGTATTCTAAAATTTGTCTATGAAGATTAATTCAGATATATGTTATTCTCTTACTACACACTTATGAAAATGTTATGCATAACTCTACACATTAAAGTGCTAACTATAAAAGAAACTCATTTCTGGGACCAGCAGTTGGCGTAATGGCTATGTCGCTGGACTCCCATGTAGTCAATCATGGTTCAAGTCCCAGACCCGGTGGCTTAAACTCATGCTGGGCACATGTGTGTGCGTGCATGCCCAAGATCCTGAGAGGAGAATGGAGGAGAAGGGATTGTGGTGTGGCCATCCCCCCCGGGGGGGGGTGATTTCTCGCTTTCTTTCTCTCTGTCTCTCCAAAAAGAAAAAATACAGAAATATAGCCAAAAAGTTAAGAGATAAAGGAAAACAACGTGTTAAAAATCCAAAGAGGTCAGGAAAGAAGGGTAGAAGAACGAATAAAACAGAAGGGACAAACAAACAGTACGAGGACAGATCTAATTCCAAGTCAATTATTGTACTTTTTCAGACAAAAGAGAAATCACTGCCTACCTCATTTTTCACTGCCTAACTCTACTATCAAAACCTAACAGATACCACCACCCCCCCCAAACAAAAAGAAAGTTACAGAACAAGATCCCTTAAGAATATAGTACAGGGGTTGGCAGGTGGAGTGGTGGTTAGCATTAGACTCCCACATGGCTGACAATGGTTTGAGTCTTGGACCTGGAGCTTGGTTTCTTACTTTCCCTCTTTCTCTGTTTCTCCATTGG